TTTTTTTTTTTTTTTTTTTTTTTTTTTTTGCAAATTGTATATATTGTTTTAGGCTTAAAATCACTTAATTGTCATACATTTTTAAGTCATTTTGCTTCTCAAGTAAATGTATCTTGATTTATGCATGCTTAGATCTTTGTACGGGATTTTTTGCAGTGCAAATACATTACATGTTAATGTGATTTTTGTTTGTTTGTTTTCACAAGCCTGAATTATTTCTGTGGTAAAGGAAAGCAGGCCACAGAAGCTCAACTTGTGCTGAACCCAGAAAATTCCTTTAAATCTGTCGAATTGCTGAAGCCTGTTTGTTTTTCTTTTTTTCTTTTTTTTATGACTTCTTTTAATGGAAGAACGTTTTTGATTTAATAATGGAAAGCTAATGAAATATCAGGCTGTATCTGTATCTGGAACAGACATGCAGGCACCACTGATCTGAACTTTCAGTGTCTGTCTGACTCTTTAGGAATAAATAAGACACAATCTCTCACTCCAAGGGTTTTTGACACACAGACTTAAGATGTGTAACATAGTTATTTAACTGTGAAATGTAGAGGATCCTGAAAGCCCACCGCCTTCACCACTAACAAGAACCATCTGTGAATGACCCTCTGCTCAACACATGCCGGGAATATACTGTCTTTCTCTTCTGTTTCGTAAGTGTACTGTAAATTAAATACTTCTATGTGAAAGAACATGACTGCTTTTACTGTGTATGTCCAAAATCTGTCTCTAAAAAAACAACAATATTCAGTTTCTGCGAGGGTTCGTGTTAACTGTGATTTGTGGGATTGTATGAGGCAAAGTTTCACATGTGTTTGTGTTTAAATGGGAGGTTTCATTCTGGACGTTTCGGAAATGAAAGCGGTACCACGTTAGAAAGCAGGGTGCAGAAATATGTATCAAAGACATGAAGCAGTATGTGTCAATCATGATATTGCATTGTTGTAGTCTTAAAGGCATGGCTCACCCAAAAATGAAAATTTGCTGTTAAATTACCCTCAGGCCATCTGAGATGTAGATAATTTTTTTTTTTTTTTTGTAGATGTCCTTAGTGATTCATAAAATGCAAGTCAGTGGCTAGGGCTACTTTGAGAGTCAAAAAACGCATATCAGGCAACAAAAACGTAATACCAGTGGCTCCTGATGATATACTGAGGTCTTATGAAGTGAAACGATCAGTCTGTGCAAGAAACTGAACATTATTTACAACATTATTACCTTTAATCCAGAGCCTCCAGAGCAACGGTCCGGTGTGATGTCCGGTTCACGAACGAATCATTCTTTTGAACCGGTTCTTTTTAGTGAACCAGATGAATCAGTTCACCAAATCGGACTGAATCAGTTCAGGGCTCGAGCAGCACAGATCTACAAGTTACTCAATCTAAACTCTCTTTCAGACGCCTGACAGTCACTCCGACTCGAAATGAGCCAAAATAGCAGCGTATCTGATCCTGTGATGAACGAACTGATTCAGTGCTTCGGTTCCTCCAGCAGTCACTGAACTGAGGAAACAGTTCGACTCGGACCGATGAGCCGCTGATATGAGCATGTGAAAACCCAACACTTGAATGAAGCGCCAAATGAAAGCTTTTATGGTTTCTCGTGGTTTATGTAGAAAGGTCCGTATCTGATCCTGTGATGAACGAACTGATTCAGTGCTTCAGTTCCTCCAGCAGTCACTGAACTGAGGAAACAGTTCGACTCGGACCGATGAGCCGCTGATATGAGCATGTGAAAACCCAACACTTGAATGAAGCGCCAAATGAAAGCTTTTATGGTTTCTCGTGGTTTATGTAGAAAGGTGAGCTGATGAAGACGAGTTTATTCACTTTATATGCTTTAGACATGTAAAACATCACTTTTTCACATCATTATTGGATGCTTTGATAATATAATTGTGTATATGTGATGTCATTGCCAGGTTAAGTAAACAAAATAATGAATTGAAACAGTTAATTGAAACAAACTGTCTGAAAAAGAACAAAAGAATCAGATTTCCCCATTTGTCTGAGACTCTGGATTACAGCTAATACTAATAATGTTGTAAATAATTATTGTGTGTATGTGTGTTTCTTGCACAGGATGATCGTTTCGCTTCATAAGACCTCAACATATCATCAGGAGAAAAAAACATCATTTTTTTTTCAAAGACAGGCAGCCACTGACATGCATTTATTTAATCTTCTTCACTATTCTACTCTACATTTTTACATGAAATACACTTTTAACACACCTAAGAAAAAAAATGAGTAATGCTGAGAGAGAAACTGAGTAATGCTTCTACACATGTCATCTTACAATTAAAACTGTGTTTGAACTTCTACAAGAGTTTCGGTCATGAGTCACCTTAAATATTTCACCAAATGAAGAAAGAAAACACTGCTTGTGTTGCTTCAACATGCCCTAAAAAAACCTAAAATAAGTCTGAGGAGACACACCAAAGCCAGAGAAACGTTAGACTAAAACTAGACACGGTTTGAATTAGCGCATAAAAGAAAGGTTTCTATTTCTTGAGCGTCGGATGAGTCTCAGACAAGATTTCTTGAACGTCTTCCAGATAAACATTTGTGAAGTAGGTCAGCCGAGGTCTGCACGTGGCCTAAAACCAAAAAAACTGCGCAAAAACCACATCCTTGATTCAAAGAAACTTCCATTTGCCAGTTTTCCAGAGAACATCTCAGAGTGTATACATACCTTTCTTTTTAAAGTTTAATGCATAATACAAGAGAGAGTTCAATCCATTTCAAAACAAGACATATGGGTCATTCCACGAAATCGGTGCCTTTTGTGTCCCTTAGAAATGATCAAACATAGATTTAATATAACAACAAATAAATGTGCAATTTAAAAACATAACAATGCTATGCATGCTTTCATCAATCTTACATCAATAAAAGTAAATTAAATATTATTTTAAATAATTTAAATTGCATTTATGCTGATAACGGTAAGGTTTTTTTGTGTGTGTGTGTGTGCGTGTGTGCGCGTGTGTACGTGTGCGTGTGCGTGTGTGTGTGCGTGTGCGTGTGTGTGTGCGTGTGCGTGTGTGTGTGCGTGTG